ATCAAGCCATGAGCCTCAAGTTCTTCATCACCCTTATGCTCACTTTTCTCTTTGCTGCTAGTAAACTTTCTCTTGTTTATCTTTTGTCTTCTAAAAAATGAATGCTTTTGTTTCGATGTCTGAACTCTCAATGGAATATGGTTTCAGGAACAACTGAAGTAATGGCACAAGGAAAGGTTTGTGTCAGCTCATAGAGCACCACCAGTTGCACAAAGGATAGTTGCAACATCTGTCGTGGCAAGTTTGGACCTAAGATAGGTTCTCTATGTGGTGGTGTCAATTGTCTTTGATGGAGGATCAGAAGAAGATAAGCACAGAAAGCTCACTAGAATAGGAAAAACAGAGACAAGAAATTGAGGGAAAACGTGGAAAACATAACCATCCACCTTCATCTTGTATCATTTACTGACATATGACTCTAATACATCACATGACTCTAATACATTTAACATAATTAAAATATTAGCTATTGGATATCTAATTAAAATTCACCCTTCCATCAGTCTTTGCTTCATGCTCTGTTGAGTATTTTCATATAATTTAATAAAATCTAGGATTTAATCAGGGTATAAGCTACTTGGTTTCCAATATGAGCATTATTGTCTGACCAAATAAATTAATCTTAATGGAATAAAAAGAATATATTAGCCTCTATAAGTCTACTTTCTTTATCAAATTTTAATCTATCTCCCAATCTATCAAATTTTATAACATGATATACATGTTCGTTGCCATGTAATGGGAGACTATCAAAAATTTAATCAGGATATAAGCTAGGAGGGCAAGGGGTAGGACTAGAATATACACAGAACCATAATTGAAGAACGTATGCTTCTTGCACAGTTGTAGCAGCTTATTTGAATACTCTAAATTTGTAAGAACAAGATATTTTGAATAAGGGTTTAGTTTTCATTAAGAGCACTGCTAAGGGCACTCGCCTCTTGCACTCTCCGGCCAACACTTCCCCTTTCATTGGGCCACGTAAGCCTATTTTAAGGCTTTGAGTGCAGCCTCTCCCCAACCAAAATAACGTGGCCCAATAAAAGGGAAAGTGTTGGCCGGAGAGTGCAGGAGGCGAGTGCCCCTAGCATTGCCCTTCCATTAATTTAAGAAATAAATGTTAGCAAGATACCAAACATGAAGGAGACAGAAAAGAGAAAAGAAGAATAGTAGAAAAAGTAATTACAAAGGAATGCAATTTTAACCTTACAAAGTAACACCTTAACTTGCCATGTCATCAAACCATGTGATCAAACCCAGCAACCTCTTCTGCAGGAGCAGCCACTGATCTCACTACCATACATTACAACAACAAAGCCAAAACATTTAATGCTGAGATGCTTAAGCTTAATTATGTCCATGGAAAATGCATACATAGCATAAGGTACTCTTCCATTCAAAATTTTTCTTCAAAACAAGAAGAACCATATTATCAAACGACCCAATTAAGTCTTCCATTTATATAAACAGCATAGAATTATCAAAACCATATTATTTGAACGACCCAATTGACTCATCCATCAACTTAACGCATAAAATGCAACAATTCCCAATTTTGAAGATGGATTATTTAAATAAGAGACCAGAAAGAAACATTAAAATCATCGACTTACACAAGTGAAACCCAAAAATACTTTAAAAAGAAAAAAAATTTATATCATGACACAAAGAAAAGTTACTAAATTGAAAATAACTGAAACTCAAGGAATCACCTTTCAGTGGATCCTTGGGACGCTTCTGTCTGACGTGAAGTGAGAGAAAGCGGGCCGTGAGAGACGTCGAAACGTTGGTTCTGGATAAGAAAGAGAGCATACCCACAACTTTCACGGAATTCCTTCCAATGAAAAGCTTGTGGGGAAAGGCAGAAAAGGAGACGGATTGAACATTCGCCGCTGCCATGTTCTTCAACCTTCCCCTTCCGGTAGTGAACAGAACAAACCAGAAAGGGGAGTGCCTGTGTTGCTGCTTATAAGCAAGCAAGCAAGCAGCATGCCTCATGCGATAGAGTTACAAGTAGGCGACCCACGTTAGGAGCCCAAACCCAGTAAAGTCCTTGGGCCTTTATCTTTGAATCCAAAGAGCCCCTCAGCTGTTCTTCAAATTTTATTTTTTATTTTTAAAATTTTGTTGTCTCCGAATAATATGCATCTTCTTGCTCATTTTGTATGATTAGAACAAAGACTTCCACATTCTGATAATAAGATTGTTTGAATATACAAAGAGAAAAGAGTACATATACATTACTTCAGTCAAGAAACCCTAAAAAAACCAGTTAATGTTAAAAAAAAAAAAAAATTCCCCAGTTAACGTTAATTGTTAGCCTTTCAAGACTCCCTTTCCTGCTAAATTTTCAGGTGTTAGATTTAGTGTGTCTACTGAACCCCTTTTTATTTCCCCCCATGTTCGGCCAGCAAGTCCCCTACGCTTCCTGGTTCTTCATAGCAACCAAGATGGTCTGCAATCAGATGAAGATTATTACAACCACCACAACGTGCAACTACCACGCCTTCCTCATATGACTCATGACAAACTGTCTTAATGGATCTTGTTTCACAAACTTTGCAAGTAATTATTGTTGGGTTAGGCCTATCCCTCCTATGTGGAGAAATGGCCAATATTTGTGGACTAAGCCCACACTTGTTAAGCCCACTTGAAGCCACATTTTGCAGCCCTTTAAGACAAAGAAAGGAGTCTGATTTGGACAGCAGAAAGTGGAGAACACGTGAGGGACCAGCCGGTAGAAAAGGGAAAAGAAAGCAGGGGAGAATTCTGCAGATTGGTACAGTGTACAGTTTTACAACTTTGTCCGATCCGCAAAAGTTCACTGTTGGATTGAGTTGGAATTTGGTTTGAGGGTTCAGAAGACATTGATCTACATTTTGAACGGTCAATTTTTTGTTTAGAGCTTTGTAGGTTCAGTTTTCGTGCCCTGAACAGTAACTCGTGTTTTGGTGCTTTGTTTTTTCTTGTGGTCCCTTTTACTTTGTTGGTTTGTGGCCTATTGTTCCTCTTATTTGGTGTTGTTTTTGTGCCCTTTGGGAAGAGGATATTGTGTACTCACTTTATTATAGTGGAGCTATTTTTGTGGACTGAATGTCACGTGGTTTTTACCCATTTTTGGGGTTTTCCATGTAAAAATATTGTGTCTCTTGTGTGGTTGTTTTGCCTTGGCTATTTTATTATTCTGCATATTTTACAGCTGCTGCCATATTATTTTTGGACTCAATTTAGCTTGCTCCTAACAATTTCAAATAGATTTGGGAAGATTTTGGTGTTGCTTTTATTTCCGCTGTTCTTAGGTGACACCCCGGTGCTTCCCAACACTTATTATAGCAAGATCATGGCTTGAGGACCTTTTCTAGTGGGATATGACAGTATGCTTCATAGCAGAGTCTTCTGTCTGGGATAATATCACTGGCTGAATCAAAAATGGGCTGTAAACTGCTAGCTTCGTGATTTTCTGCATCCTTGTTTACTAGGGGAGTTGAATTTGCTTGAGTTTAAAACCATCAACCATATAAAGTTGCCCCTGCTGCTTAAGAATGTTGGTGTAGGAGGTAGAATTATGAAGGGGACTCTGCCGGCAACAGTTTAGCTTTCAAATTAGAAAAGCATAAATTGCACGTGAACTAAAAAGTATAACAAGATAAAAAGTTCTTTTGAAAATACATATAGCATCAATTAAGCTTGTGACAAAGATAAATAAAAATCAGAAACAATCTATGACTTATAGTGAGAAGAGGTAAGGGAGGATGAAGGTAGTAGTTGTATCAAATTTGATGAAAAGAACTTCAAATCCGCTCCTTTGCTTGGCCTTGCAATCCCAAATGCACCAAAAAGCTTAATGAAAATAATCCTAGTCTACCATCAAAGGCTAATCTCTCCACTATGTCTTCCATGATCTTTCCAATCTCAGGGGTCTCAGGATAGCCAATTCTATCTATTTTTGATTTTTGTGGGCATGATCAGTAGGGCAAAGTTTTAGTGTAGCTGAAGCATCCAAAGATATGCTTATAAGCATAATAGTGAAATAATTAGTTAAGTACCCTCAATCCCTCTCTCCTTCACCAACTATATAATTCTCACTCAATTTCAACCAAGAATCTACACTTCTTGTTGCTACTCCAACGTCTTCAAATGTACTTGTGATCACATGATGAGAGGCCTAGGCTGGCAAGATATGTGGATGAATTAATTGTAGGGAAAACTATCCGCACCCTACAGCTTGAGGTGAGAATGAGAGGAGAATATCAAATTATCGATTGTCTTCTTAACCTTAAAAAAGATGCCAAACATGAACCAACGGAAGTTCGTTAAATCTGATCTATGTGACACAGACTAATCAGTTATCTTAACCAACGGAAGTTCGTTAAACACATTTCCCACCTCTTTTCTGTTTCCCAACCTCAATCCCTTCTTCCTCCAACAAGCATTACTTAAAACCCTCTGTTTCCTGCTCTCTCTCTATCTCTCTCTCTCTTTTTCTCTCTTTTTCTCTCTTTCTCCCTTCTCCTGTTCTTCCCTCCTACCCTACTCATAGTCACCTCTCTTTCTTCCTTCTCTGTTCTTCCCTCCTATCCTACTCATAGTCGCCTCTCTTTCTCCCTCTCTCTGTTATTATCCACTCCTCTACGATGGTGAAAAAACCTATTATTATCCCTCTCTCTGTTATTTTTTACTACTTTTCATGAGATAGTTCTTACACTTGGGTTTTTTTGTTTAGTCAAAAGCACTAGGTTTTTCCATTTGAGTTAAAAATACTTAGGCTTTTTGGTACTCAAACTTTTCTGCACTTAAACTTTCCAAAGTTTGGGTTAAAACATTTGGACCTTTTTGTTTGGGTCAAAAGCACTTAAATTTTTCTATTTTGGTTAAAAACACTTGGACTTTCTTGTTTGAGTTAAAAATACTAGGCCTTTTCTTTTAAGTTAAAAACACTTAGACTTTTTGCTTTGGGTTAAGAACACTTGGACTTTCTTGTTTGAGTTAAAAATACTTTGGCTTTTTGGTTTGTGTTAAAAATACTCTGCCTTTTTTTGTTTGGGTTAAAAACACTTGGACTTTCTAAGGTTTGGGTTAAAACACTTGGACCTTTTTGTTTGGGTCAAAAGCACTTAAATTTTTCTGTTTTGGTTAAAAACACTTGGACTTTCTTGTTTGAGTTAAAAATACTTGGGCTTTTTCTTTTTGAGTTAAAAACACTTGGACTTTTTTATTTGAGTTAAAAACACTTGGGCTTATCTACTTTAAATTAAAAA